AAAGAGAGAATCGGATAGTAGAGTAAATTATCAATTTCCGGCAACCAGGTATTATCGGACGCTATTATTGACACTGCAGAGCTAGTAATACAGGTGTTTTAGGTATCAAAATGTAGCTAATTCAACACTCTTTTATATATCTTAACAGCTGGATGATCAAAGATTAGATAGCACCATGGCAATTTTTAGAAGACCACTGACCGACATTCCGTATGATCGGACGATATCCTGCATTTTCGTAGATGGAATTTTTCTACGCAGAGAAAGCATTGATCAAATGCTAACTGCACCCATTGAAGCATTGGTCTTTGGTCTACAAACTAGTGCAGTTGTTGCAAGAATTCTTGCTACTACAGAGAAAGTAGGAAGCATCATAGAGGCATGATTGGATTGCTGTTTGATCGGCCACGCCTATAATTTATTATAATTGTTAATAAAGTTTATTATCATTGTTCATCAATCATTAATGACACTGAAATTCTTGGTTACAGGTATTAGAGCAAAACCACAATCCTCTTGGTGCTGTTTTCATCTGAACACACTTAAAGTGAAACCACTGGCCATTTCTACAATTTTTATTTTCACAATAAACCATTTGACCTTCATCTTTTCCACCACAAAAGCAATAACCTATTAAGGTAAATTTATTAATGACTATATACTCAAAATGTAACTCACCTTTCTCATCTACATTATCAGTATCCGACAAAGAAGAAAGAGAGTTACATCTACTTGTAACAGATGAATTACCTGTAAATGATTATAATAAATAACTTCACATCAATTAGTATTACTATTCTTACTTGCATTGGTAGTTTTACCACCTCTTGTACTACCAGGTTTATTTAGAACTGATAAATTACCTGTAATAATAAACAACATCATATCAACAGTTATTATGAGCATTATTATTCTTACTCGCATTGGTAGTTTTACGGCCTCTTGTGCTGAGAACTGATGAATTACCTGTAATAATAATAAACATTAAACAACTTCATATCAATTAGTATTATTATTCTTACTTGCATTGGTAGTTTTACTACCTCTTGTACTGTAACCAGAAGGTTTACTAAGAACTGCTGATATACATGCAATAATAATAAAACCTTCACACCAATTAGTATTATTATTCTTACTCGTATTGGTTTTACCACCTCTTTTACTACAGCCAGAAGGTTTACTAAGAACTGATGAATTACCTGTAATAATAATAAACATTAAACAACTTCATATCAATTAGTATTATTATTCTTACTTGCATTGGTAGTTTTACTACCTCTTGTACTATAACCAGAAGGTTTGTTATTAAGAGCTGATGAGTCACCTGTAATAATAATAAACAAATAATACCAATTAGTATTTAATCTTACATGCACTAGTATCAGTAGTTCTACAACTTCTTGTTATTCGCCTACTAGTACAAGAAGGCTTACAGGAATTATTATCTATTAAGCATAATCGTAACTAATAATGATAGTACAATCAATATGTTACATGAATTTTTACGTCTTGCTACCCTACTACTAGAAGACTTTTTGCTCAGAGCACGAGAAGAGCTACCTATTAATATATGAACACAAACAACAGGAGTCGGTACACTACCTCCTTTAGTTGTAGAGGAACCACTGATACCAATTTCTGAAGTGATACTTGAATGTACATGTACTACAAAACTAAATAAAAATATTACTACAAATTATTGCTAACTTGAAGTGTTCTCATCAACTGCTTCATTGTCACTTAAATACAATTGAGATCCTTCACCTATAATGTATTAAGTTATAAAAAGATAATCATGCAGTTGTACTTCTATTCCCAGAGAAATCAAATATGTGGCACGAAACATCCAGATCTAATTCATCTCTCACACCTACAGACATTAACAAACACATTAAAATTAATGCATAATAATATTACATTTAGTATTCTTTTTCTTCTGTTTAGTAGCCACTTGCTTCTCTGCCTTTTTTTGTTCCCTCTCTAACTTTCTTCTTTCCTTGAGTTCCTCTTTCTCTTTTTTCTGTCTCTCCTTTTCAGCAAGTGCCATTCGATTCTCTAAGCTAGTAAGAACTCTTGCAGATTTAGATTCTGTTGCTTTAGAAGAAGTGTGATGCTCTGGGTAGGTAAGTACTTTACGTAACGTAGACCTGGGTTGATTTGATACCTTCCCAATTAAAATATTAGATCCAGCTACAGTGGATTCTTTATCTGAAGAATGTGAAGGACTCGGGTCAGGTGAATGTTGCTGTTGCTCATGTTGCTTCAGCCACAAATTGTAACGCTCATCATCAGTAATATCATATCCCTCTTCATACCTCCTTATGAAACGTGTAACTTCATCACTGGTAAAAGAAATAGGGGTGTGAATAGACGAAAGATCAGAGACAGGCTGCTTAGAACGGGCGGGGCTGTACAAAGGAATAAATGCTAATCCTGTCCTCTCTGCTAGTGATCGATTATCTGGAATGTCATCAATCACATTAATAGAATTACGATTGAAAGGATAGATTCCAGTCGTCTTAAAAGCAGCCATAATATTTGATATAGACATGGCTTTATACCAAGCCTTACTGAACAAAGGATTAAAGTCGTACTCTGTTACTATTCGGCCAGGATTCTCGGACATGAAACGCAGACACTCTTGGTTCCAATAGGTCTTTAAAGGACCAAATATCCCTTTATCAAGAGGTTGCGTGAGATGAGTAGTGTTGGGAGGAAAACAGAAAACAATAACTTTTTCCTCAGCAGCTCGTTGTATAAAACTAGGATTGTAGTGTGTGGAATGGCCATCTAATAATAGGAGTAAAGGCCTCACAGATGGTGCATGTAAAAGAAAATGATGTAGAAACCAATTCAAAAAAATTTCAGAATCCATCCAGCCCTTTGAGCTAAGGCCATACATCGTACTAGGCACTTCATCAACTGTTAGGCTAGGATTCATTGCTTTCCATCCAAATATCACTAAAGGCGGTAAGCAATTACCTGCTGCATTTGCACAAGCAAGTACGGTAATTTGTTTCTTCCTCCCCGATGTCACAGCTCGAGGATGCTTCTGGCCTTTAATTCCCACAACCTTTGATGGATTATGGTCTAAACAAAGACCTGTCTCATCACAATTGAAAATTTGTGACGGCTTCTCTAACAGATCGTTTTCTTGAAGAGTCTCCTCTAATAGATCAAAGTAACGACTCATAACACATTCATCTGTAGCAATTAAACGACAATAAGACAGTTTCTCAACAGTTCTCAATGTAATAGAAGGATATCGCTGTTTAAAAGAAACCCACCAACCATTTGATAAAGTCACTCTTCTTCCTTTATAAGATAATACTTTCTCAACAATCGACATTACTTCTTTTCGTGTTTTTGCATATCCCATTCTTGCCGCTTTACAAATAAAACGTACTAATTCCTTTTCCTCTTCATCAGACAAATAGCGCTCAGGCCCACTGTGTCTACCATTTTGTACTTTGCCACTCACATGATCACTTAATGTTGATCGAGGCACTCCAAATTTTTCAGCAGCACTTCTAATAGAACATCCGTCTTTTACTGCCTCATATGCCCTCATCAATTGATCATTATCATAATTCCTATAAGAAGGACATCTAGAAGTGACACTGGACATTGAAGGAGAAGGAGAAAGGGTTGATGACCTATAAACTCGCTCCTGTAGTCTTGACACCATTCCTAATGAAATATTAAAATTTAATTAGTGGCTTATTGCATTTAATATGTTGCTGCAGATTCAATGATTCATAAATCCAATTTATATTCACCCACCCACATTAGCCGGCCCCACCCGTGTAATGGAAACAATAAAGTATCCCACGAGTCAGAAGTTGATAAAATTCAATGTACATACGTAAGGGTCAGGCTCAACATACGCTAAATTGTTAATATTGAATTTAATACACACACACACATGCATGCATTTAAAGCATCAAAGTGATAACAAAATGGTGGCCAAGTGCATGACTAATCTAGATCTATCATAACAATAGCCTTGGCAAGTATTATTGATTTAAGCATATTCTATGAGTTTATATAAATGATGGAACTCACTGTGAGTATAACTAAGACTCTTTACAAGGCTCTTTAACACTGGACACAGTTACACAGCGAGGATAAGGGCTCAAACGTGACAATCTTTGTAATTAATACTAATTATTACTAATTAATTAAAATATAGGCGTGGCCGATCAAACAGCACTCCAATCATGCCTCTATGATGCTTCCTACTTTCTCTGTAGTAGCAAGAATTCTTGCAACAACTGCACTAGTTTGTAGACCAAAGACCAATGCTTCAATGGGTGCAGTTAGCATTTGATCAATGCTTTCTCTGCGTAGAAAAATTCCATCTACGAAAATGCAGGATATCGTCCGATCATACGGAATGTCGGTCAGTGGTCTTCTAAAAATTGCCATGGTGCTATCTAATCTCTGATCATCCAGCTGTTAAGATATATAAAAGAGTGATGAATTAGCTACATTTTGATACCTAAAACACCTGTATTACTAGCTCTGCAGTGTCAATAATAGCGTCCGATAATACCTGGTTGCCGGAAATTGATAATTTACTCTAACTATGCTAGGACCAATAGAAGAGGTCATGTTAGCGAAAATTTAACTTTATCAATGCAAAATTGCTACTACAGGCTGCATGAAGCATCACAATTCTGAACCATCACTTGAATTCTATTTGTTATTCTTAATAGGAGTTTAGTGACACCATTTTAATGATTTTTCTATATTATTTGGTGCAAGTTTATATCTTCAATCAATATATTCAAAGAGGAATTACCATTTACAGTGAATATAAGCAGGAATACAATGTAGACTATATAGGATGAGTATTATTAAATAAAAACTGCAATTTTTTAGAGCAATAATTATGTTTTGTGTGTTACCAACAGCAATCTTTAGTAAATTGGTTGCAAATCAACCTGATGAGACTGTTGACTGATGCTTTTATGTAAGTTATTTCATCACAGCTGTATGTATAATATCTATGTTTTAACACTATAAAATTAGGATTATATATGATGTAAGTGAAGTTTAATCTATTGTATATAATGCCTTGTCATGTCAGAAGCCACTAGATTTTAATTGTAAGTTCTTTTTAAAATTTATTTGTCTTCAATATTAATAGCGGATTTGTATAGGTTATTAAGCGTCATAAATCAATTTTTTAATTTTGATTCTATTAAAAAATATTTTACTGTGACAAAACAAGCAAGTGCTGGTATGAATCAAAATTTTATTTGAATTAATGTTTTGTTGTTCAAATTGAATAGTGTGCTGTCAATGTATTTGAAAAAAAAAGGTAGAGGTGCACACACAGAAGTTTAACTTTTCAGACTATACAAACATACTATGAAGTGGTATGTACAAACTTACAAATTTTAGTTTATTATTGCAACAGTTTGTACCCAAACAAGACAGTTCCATTGACTGTGGTGCTTATCTGTGCAAATTATGCATATCTAATATGTTATTGTTAAAATCAATTGACTTTTAGTTTACCTATACATCATACTGTGTTGTGATGGAGTGCTCCGATATGTTGTCCAAGTATAAATTCTATTGTAATGGTTATGCTCTGTCATAACATTGTTTATTAGATAACTTCAAAATTTTTGAGGCAATGGCTTATGACTCTCATGCTTCACAGTTTCAGGTACAATTTGCTATTGAAATGGAATATCATTTTTATATAGGTGGAAGACAATACTATTAGCGTTGCAACCAGAGTTGCTTAGTGCTAAGCAACTCTTTTCAATGATTTACAAGCATTGAAAAGGGATCTGCAAAAAAAATGTGGCATTCCTAGCCCAGGTATGACAAAAATAAATATACTAGAAGTAACTATAATATTTACATTTATTACGTAGGATAACTACTTTTTGACTAGATTCTAAAGCTCAATATAACTATTTAAAAGGGTCTCCTTATCTTTAAAGAGCAGTGATTTCAAGGATATTGAACTATTATTATTTTAATTGTGTAATTAAATTAAATCAGTATCTCAGTATAGTGTTGCATGCAATAGCACTGATAAAAATTAATCATAAAATTTCACTATGTTTATTATTAGACTTACACCAAATAATATAGAAAAATCATTAAAATGGTGTCACTGAACTCCTATTAAGAATAACAAATAGAATTCAAGTGATGGTTCAGTATTGTGATGCTTCATGCAGCCTGTAGTATAGCAATTTTGCATTGATAAAGTTAAATTTTCGCTAACATGACCTCTTCTATTGGTCCTAGCATAGTTAATACGTACATAAATTTATTGTCCAAGTGTAAAAGTTGTAAGAAGTTGTTTCTAGATGGATCCGGAACTCTCTGTGTACTATTGTAATTATATATTATGTGTTTATTCAAGTATATTCTAGAACAATCATGTAAAGTATTCTTGTATGTTATAGAACCTTCTGGACATTTATAATATCTATATAAGTGTGTTGTTAGTTAGTTGTGAGTTAGTTTTAGTTTTTAGTTTTTGTTTTTGTTAGTTGGTTTTTGAGCTCAGTTGAGTTTCGGGTTGATTAAGAATAAAGTTTGGTTAACAGATAGTTGGAGCGTCTGTTACATTTTTTGGTGGCAGCGGTGGGATAGTTCTCAAACGGTTGTAGAGGAAAGACCCACTATTGTATCTCTGCAAGAGAGAGAGACTAAAGTTTATAGTGTCTGGTGTGACTGTTTATGTCGGATAACAGTCGAGAGAATCAAGGGCGGTATTCTCTACGGGACTTACCAAGACACGACTACAGAGGACAGTTGCGAGGATTACATATTTTCAGAGAGAGTTATACTTCAGTTGATACGGAAGAC